CATAGTTTGAATCTTGCTCTTAGCGACATGACACATTCTTGCACTAGAGACATATCATTTTTTGGAATTGTTCATAGCATATATACATTATTTTCTGGTTCTACAAAAAGATGAAAAATTTTTCTTTACAATGTTTCCGAGCTTACTTTGAAACGTTTATCTAATATTCGTTGGGAGAGTTGAATTACAAGTGTTAAATTCATTCGATTTAAAGCTCCCCAATTAAGATTTATTTTGTCATTTTTATATGATTCTTGTGGTAGTGATGCAAAGTCAAAAGGTGAAGCTGAGTCTTTGTATAACGCACTTGAGAGTTTTGAGGTTTTTTTTTGTTTAAGTATTTGATATAAATAAAGTAAGCAAGGAATTGCAATAGAAGTCCATTTGTATTAACACCACCATAGAACAAATTAACGGTATGTTGTCATATTTCGAAAAGTTGAGAGATGAAGGTTTTACTTCCAAAATGAATATTGCTAAAGATATTGCACTTGACATGGATGTAGAGCCTATCCTTCCAGCAAAATGTCGTGTTATTAAAAAAATATTTTGATGAAAACAATGAAGAGGATGATCAAAATCTATCGTATGAAGAATCATTTAGAGTATTTTTGGTTGTTGTTGATATGGCAATCACTTCTTTAAAACACATATTTAAGCAACTAAAAACTTTTTAAACAATTTTTAGATTTTTGTTTGATTCGAACAAGTTAAAATCATTGGATGAAAAAGAATTAAAAGAATGTTGTATTACTTTTCACTCTACTTTTTCTCATGGTGATTCATCATATGTTGATTTAAATTGTATTTGTTCATAATTGAAAGTGTTACAATCTACTTTGCCAAATGAATTAATGTCAGCCAGTGAAATTCTTGAGTTTGTCAAATGTGCATATTGCTATCCAAACACTTCAATTACTTATAATTTTTTTTGACAGTTTCAGTAACTGTGGCATTAGCTTAAAAAAGTTTTTTAAAATTAAAGTTGATCAAAATCTACTTGAGGTCATCAATGTCACAAAAACGGTTGAATTGTTTTACAATTTTATCAATCAAGAAGAAATTTTTGAAAAAGATTGATGTTGATGTTATCATTAATGATTTTGCATCTCAAAATGCTCGTAGAACCCATTGTTATGATTTTTTTAGATTATGTATAAAATCATGGCATATGAGTTGCTTGGACATTTTTTTGGTAATTTTATTTATAAAATTGTATCATTTTAAACAACAAATTATTTGAATAGAAGTACGATCATATGTTTTTATTTTATTATATACTATTTTTAAGGGGCCTCAATCTACTATTTTACCTAAGGCCCAAAAAGATCAAGACTGAGACTGATTTATAATAAATATCTTATTTTTTAAAACTCTTTTTTTAACAATAATATCAAATAATTAAATTTTAAATTATACTTTCAAACATCACTTTTAATTTTTTTTTTTTGGATAATTCTGATTTTATTATCCAAATCAAGGTTTAGTTACAACCAATCCACCAATCTACAATGAAAGAATGAATCTGCCTACAAAATGATTGGTTAGACTATACCCCAAGCATTACAAAGCATTAAATTAGTACTATCAAGTCTATTAATATTAGTTTCCCTAAGACGGATTCCAACAACGTCTTTAACATCTTTGAGCAAGCAATCGATCGTTCTACGCCGTCCTTGGAATATTCTCTGATTTCTTTCCTGCCACAGAGAGTAGATAAAAGCAGTCCAAGAAAGTTTCAAAATGGTGGTAAGTAAAGACTTCCCTTTCCATGATGAACATGCCTTTGAAACCAATTCTTCCCATGAAAAGGAATTGGTATTCATCCCATTAAGTTTCAAAATTGAAGACCAGAGTTCCATTGCCAGATAACATTGCGAAAAGAGATGGTCCCTCGTCTTGTTTGAGTTGCTACAATTAACAAAAAGACCGTCAGTGCCAATTCCCATTCGAAGAAGTCGGTCTCTAGCAGACAATTTGTTCAATAAAGCCATCCAAACTATCAAGTTAAACTTGGGAATATGTAATGGAAACCAAATAAGTTTGTTCCATGAAACATTCTACCTTTTGAATCAAGTCAAATCCCAAATTTCCTTAACATTCGGTGAACCAGCTGAAATAATTGGAAGGGTTGCAACCCTTAATTTTAATATTCTGCTGATACTTCCACTTACATTTGAAGCAGCTCGGAAGTGCCAAAATTCCTACTCCTTAAAAACCACTTTTAAAATTTTATTTCCATTAAAAGTTATGAAAAAAAACTATACCAAACGACCCCTAAGTTTCTTCTTTGTTATTTATCCAAAAAAAAAAAGTTTCTTCTTTGTTCGTTCGTTAGAGGGGATTACAAAGAATCAAACACCTCTTTCCTTTAAAAAAACTTATGGATGATTCCAAGTCAGTTATGGAATAAACCGAGGCTGCTGTTGTAGCCGAAGCTGATGGTTTAGCTCCAATGGACACTTAAACAGAAGTTGCTGAAGTGAAAGACCACGCTCAAGTTGAAGAAGATGGGAAATTGACGGCTCAGCCGCTCGCTGACAACCCGGATTCTGTCGAACAACGAGCTGTTTCCGACCAAATTGATGGGAGAACAACTTTGAATTCAAACCCCCTAGTTTTACAAAGAGGATTTGAATTTGCTCAAGTAAGCCCTTTTCGAGTTTGTATGTTCATCGTGTTCCTTGTTTTTATAAAGATGAAGTCTTTATCTTAATTGTTCTTCCCTTTTTCATTTGACTAAAGGTTCTGGAGAGCTGTCATCAAATTGGGAGGCTATGAACAGGTTTGCTTCTGCTTGTGCATTATCAAAAGGCCACTAGTTTAATCGAAAGTGTAAAACTAAAATCGAAGGGCATATCAATCATTTTAAGTTCTTTGGTAATATGTTGCTTTCCTGATCCTGAATTTCGAGGGATGCCTGTGTGTACAGCATCTGCATGCACAAACTCATTGTTGTAGTTAGTTCTTACTTCTTAGTTGGGTCTTACTGGATACGAAAAGGCGATTAATTCAGTTTTATTGTTTAGTTAGAGTAACCAAAATAATAATTCACTTGCTTCTTATATAGTTAAGGACATGAAGTAGTTATGGACTTCCTTTCCTAATCGTGCCGTCGACTTTGTAGGTCATCTCATGCAAATTGTGGAGGCAGAGGCAGAGGCAGAGGCAGGTTAGAGAATCGTTTGATCCCCGAAAATAAGAATAACGACTTGTTCTCCAATTATTTGAGTACTGAAAGTCTGCATTTTTCTCCTATTAAAACTACTTGTTCAATTGTTGGTGATTCTGTAGGACGTTTTATATCGTGTGGGCCTGTGGGGAATCCATCAGGTCAAAAACTTCATATCTGCTAACTCGGATCCTTTTTTTTTAAGAATAGAATTTGTTCATGAAGTGCCCTTCTGTCCTTGTACCATGATTATGGCTAATTATTTTTGCTTTAGAGGAGTTATATGGTTTATTTACTTGTTTATTTGTTGCGCATAGGACCTGTACTACGTGTCTTGGACATTTCGTATCTTTTATGGGAAGGTTTGGCTCTAATTGCCGATTTCCGTTGATTATGGTAACACAGACATACTTTGCAAACTATGGCCTCATTCCCTATTCTTAACATTTATTTTATTTATTTGCTATTGTGGCAGTGGTTCTCCTGTATTCTGTTTACATCGATTTATGCAGGCATTGTTCGAGTATGAAAAGCACAAAATGCATGGTGCTGTGCTCCCTCAGTCTGTTCCTTCCCTCATTGAGCCTATCACGGTTGTTAGTCCGGTAAAGTTATAATTGTTTCTGATCTACTTTGCAGAAATTTCATCACCCACAAAAAATTTCATCTATATCCGCTCCATCCATCATCTGCGGGTGGAGCGGGTGGAGCGGATGAGAAATAGATGATACTATGAACAAAATCTATTTTTACATCCTAAGCTCAAATTCTTGTAACATTCATAGAAACCAAACATTGATACTTAAATATTCATAGAAACCAAAACATGAACAATAAATTTTCACCAAATTCAAACAAAAACAAAATGGAATAAAGTTTATATAGTCTTGTGCACTATGTTTGTGATACCTTTTTCAAGTGAATAGATGCATCATGTATAGTCTTGTACACCAAATATAATCTTCAAATCTTCATCAACAAACTATCACTTCTCAAAAGTCCTCTCCATCCTAGTATCAATAGGGATAAACTAATATTAAAAAATTAGACATATTTTCAATGTGATAAAAGTCAGAATTAAGAGAATAAGAATATTTACAATCATCTGTTTATTTTTTAATATATATATATATATATATAATATATATATATATATATATGGATGGATGAATATATTAATGGGTGGATGGATGCTGCGGGTGCTGGGTCAAAAAAATTTCATCCATATCCGACCCGACCCATCACCCGATCCATCCATCACCCGCCAATCATCCGTTTCACAGCGGGTTTTCATCCATATATTCGGGGCAGGTGGGTAGATAATTCACTCACCCATGGATAATTGCCAGCCCTATTTGTAGTGATTGTACTAGTTACGATTCATAAATTATAATTCATTTAAATTTGGTTTTTTAGTTAAATTATCTAAAAATAAGTATTTTATATTTAAAAATAGTGAAATAAATTTTAAAATACTCATTACCATTTTCTTCCACCTTTTGAAATTAGGGTTTTCTCATACAATGATCTATTACCACTCCTAATATAAATAGATATGTAAGCAATGAAACAAATGTTAATTCTAATTTTTCATAATAAGTAGTATTTGTTTTAGGGTCTAACATTTGTTCCTGCATATATATTCTATTCAAATTATGTCACATATGCATTCATAGATAAATATGCATTAGGTTTAGTTTCTTTCATAAAATATCTACTGTTAATAGAAATTAAGCATGTTTGGAAGGAGAGAAAATATTCCCAGAAAATGAAAAGAAAAGAAGAGACATATTATGTTTTGTAAAAGAACTCAAACTTACTGATCTGAATCATCAGAACTTGGATTCATTTGCTTTCTGCATTGAAATACAATTTCCATCGGCAATGAAACCATTACATTCTGCAACAATTTCTTCATTATTTGATGACTAAAAGGTAGGCCTCGTTGCAGTGCCACTCCAGCCAAATACATCACCTGGAAAAGGATAACTTCCCAAATTATAGAAAGGAACACCACCACCTCCAGCGCCGCTGTTAGTTGTTGTGCCACTGCCTCCATCAGCTAACTGCCCTCCGCCACCACTGCCAGTGACTCCAGATGACTGTGAAGCTGCCGGTTGCAGCTGAACTACTGGCTGTTGCTCTTGATCAAGGGGTAACCTATCATAAACTGCATTGGCAAATGATGCAGCCATTAATACAACCGGACCCGAAGCCATTAACGGACACGCCACTCTCCCTCCTACAACTTGACCCTGACCACCGGCGAGATAAATCGTCAAGCCACTAGCTCCTGGCGGAGCCGGTGGGGGAAGGGAGGTCCCGGTTAAAGATAAAATCTCAAACCGCCCATGCAGTGTTATAACACTCCCGGAAGGAGCAGCCGGTTGCCGGAGTGTAACATTCGTGACGGCGCCGGTGCCACTAAGCACACAAACACCCCGGCCACGCCGCCTCGCGTAGGTTGCAACTGAGTCGAATATGTCTGAACCGGAAGATATTTCGAACACATGGGATTTTAGTGAATTTGGACTGTCGCGTGTGACGATTATCGGTGGTTTAGGTTTATTCTTGGAGCCTGCTGGACGACCTCGTGGCCTTCTTCCTCCTGGAGTGGTGCCTCCTCCGCCACAATCGGTTGTCGCGCCACCGTGATCGGTTGCTTCTTTGTCTGGTGGGAGTAGCTGATGGATATAGCGAGAACCCGAACTTGAATCCAACCCGGACATTGCTAAAAAAATCCACTTGCTCACAAGCTCGAATATCTAACTTCGATCTGACCTCTTATTAAAACGAAAATTTAATAAAATAATTCTTAAAATAAAAATTGAAAAAATTCAATGAAAATACACCACCAGCTGTGCGTGGTGAAAGCTAGGTTTTTCTCATAATGAAAATTGGCTGTGCCGAGCGCAGATTATCTCCAAAGCATAATCTGGAAATAATTTGTGTACTTTACTTTGTACTTTTTACTGATTAAACGTATCTTCTCCTTCTTCTACTACTACTATATACTGTCTGCAAATTAACCTAGCTTTAATCTAGGTTCTTCAATAATTCAACAGAAACCCAGGTGATGAACAAATTAACAAACAGCAAAAACACATTAAAAACATCAAAATGTGTGTTGGAAATTACCATAAAAGTTTAAAAATAGATCAACTAATTAGTGTATCTTCACACCCAGATTCAGATCTTTGCAAGGAATTGAAAGAGAGAGAGAAAAACCCGAGCTTGATGAATGCATATATATATATATATAATATAAACCTAGAATGAATGAGATTTCTTTAATGAGAAACTGTGTATTATTTTTAATAAAATAATGAGATTATTTTATTTTCATTACCTCAAAATCTTTGAATTTGAATGCCTGGAAACAAAGCTTTGAACAGGATGGATTGAAGGAAGCCTTGAGGGTGTTTTCTATTTTAGGTTAAAAAATGTAAAGCAAATAGAGTGATTTCCTTCATTTAATATAATGATAAAGTTAAAGATAAAGAGATGCTTTGAGAAAATATATTAAAAAATTTGAAGGATGCTTTGTTGACAAGAAAGCCATGAAAATTATATGCATTTTCAAAAGAATTAGGTAAAATAGTGAAAATAGATGTTAAAAAGAATAGGGGGTTTGGGGATAGAAAGTTAATTATAGGTTAATTACCTCATGAAGTATATCAAATTTTCATTTTTCATATATAATATTTTTAAATTCTTGATTTTATACATGGTGTAATATGTCGTCAACGAGTTCATCCACTTCATCGTAGAAGGTGATGTGAAACTCTGTGACCATTAATAAAATGACATGTGAGACTTAAAAATATTTTTTTTTCAATTTTTTTAAATAAACTCAGTTCCCTTCATTTCTTCACGTGGATTTTAAATAGTCTCATTTTCCCCTATTTGCAACAGGTAATTTATATCAAGGCTTTCTTCAGAAAAATTGAGGGATTTGATTAAAAAAAACTAGTGTTAGGAAATTTTAGGTAAACAAGTGTTCTTTTTATTTCATTTTAGTTTTTGTTTGGATATTTTCATGATTTTGTGTTGATATTAAAATATTCTAGGGTTATTTTTTATTTCATTTGGGTTATACGAACTTTAGCTTGCTTATTCATTTTGAATTTTTTTTCATTCGAATTGTTTTAAAAGATGTCATCATATTCCTCAAACTCAAAGGTAAGAAACCGTCAAGAATTTTTCTGCAATTATGAGAAGAAAACTAAAATTTGTACTTCCAGAAAAGAATTAACCAAAGGTCAGCGATACTTTAGTTGCCTAAATTGATTTCAGTTTAATTCTTCTTCATGGATCGATGAAATATGACATTGTTATGAAATTTGTGATAATGATAATGAAATTTTATTTATTATTTTGAACTAGATTTATGAAATGTGATGCAGGATGATGGATGTAAATTCTTTCATTGGATTGATGAAGATATTTGAGACAAATACGAAAAGGGCATTCTTCTCAAAGTTATGACAGAAAATAACATGTTGTTAAGGGAGAATCAAGAGTTAAAAGTTTCTCAAGTATTGTTTAAATGCAAAAGAATTTGTTGTGTAAGTGATGGTTCAAAATTGTTGGATGTGGAGGAGAAGTTGAGAAAGGACAAATGTGAAGCTTGCATGTACAAATTTGTGATATTGTTGATGTTTTTTGGTGTATTGTTTTCATAAATAATTTATAGATTAGAATTGCTCATCTTACAAAGTGTCCAAGGTTGATGTAGTGTACAAGGTTATTTTAGTTGTTTTCCATGGTGTACTTTAATGTACTTGTTGACCTTAAGCTTGTTTTAGTTGTACAAGGTTGATATACTTAAATAATTGGATGTTTATGAAATGTTCTTTACTATACATCTATTGCAAATTTACAGTATGGGTGATTAAAAAAATATGTAATCGTTAATTAGTATAATAGTTACATTTAACATGTTATTAATAGAATCGTTAATGCTAAATGATTTCAATTAACCGAATCATTAAAATGATGGTTAACAGTTAAACTTAAGGTTACGATCACGAATTTTGATAAATAGATGGTTAACAGTTAATAAATTAAATTTATAATTATATTGGGAGATGTGCATACCTACACCGGTGTAAGTATGTGTTAAATGCAATATTTTTTTTGGAGATATATATATTTACACCAGTGTAAGTATGTGTTAAGTGCTATATATATATTTTTATTTTATTCACTTACACCGATGCAAGTATGTGTTAAGTGCAACACTTTTTGGGAAAATTGTCTGTTGCAAAACGAGACGTTAGCACAGAATGGAAAATATTAAATAAAATATTTAAATGAAGAATTAATTAAATGTGTCATGGTATTAACCACTTCCTTAGAAACGAATTCACCCCGATGTGTGTAATCACTTCAGTGGGCTAATAGCCCCTAGAGGCTAGCACGACTATCTAAATTTCATACACCCGAAAGATGGAATGGACTTGGTGGTACTACTCTTCTCTTAAAACTCAAAACGACACTCCGAAAAGTTTATAAAAACCAAGGAGAGTGTTTCTAAAGCAAAAAATATTCATAAGGATGATTTCTCTTGAAGTGCATATGAAATGGGAAATTAAACATCTATTTATAGGCTCAACATAGAGGTAAAATGGTAAAAGATCTAATAGAAGTTACAAAATAATTAAATGTCATAAACATTATTTTAATGACCATAAACTATATTAGATATTTTTTGGTAAAAATAAACTCTGATAAATAATATTTTATTGGGAGGATTTTGTTAAAAAAGAAACACATATGAATTGAATCGGACAACGCAAAATGGTTCATACCCAATGTGAAATTCTTTGTATTACCAACATTCCCCCACTAATACAAAATATTTCTTTCGTAAAAACGAGAAATATGAAGTCAAAACATGAGAAGATCAATAGTGAGATTAGTTGCTTAAGCACTAGTGAATGTATCTGGAACTAGTACATAGTGATGATAAGTAATTCTTCTCTTATATAAGTGAACAAATCTTGAACATTATAAGATTATGGTGAACTCATAACACACAACTAACCCCTTTATCCACTGAAGTCCTCGAATGTGTCTACAAAGTATATATACGAATGTATATATAGGCATCTTTCCTCAGGATTCTAGTAAGCAAACTAGAAAAATAACCCAACTTTTTTCATATAAGGTGACTAATCCATTTACATAAGTTATTTCATCAGGTTTATCTCAACATAAACCACCCAAAATCGGGCTATGAAATAATTAAGAGCTTTTACAATAGCTCATACTCACAATAGGTAAGGTGAATTTCTTCAAGTTCTTTTTAAATGAACCACCCAAACTTTGGGATAAGAAATCATTTAAAAAAATATTCAACCTCATTAATCGGTGAATTCAATATGTCATTCTCACTAGAAACACCCAAACCCTTGGATTTGAATTCATTAAGAGTAAAACTCACCCTCTCTAGCGATAAGTTCATCTAGTCATCCATGATTAGGACTACCCCCTCAACACTGGGTTATGAACTTGTTAAGAATATATTATCAACCAAAAAAGCTGTAAATTCTTCAAGTCTTTCTCATTAAGACTACCCAATGCATGGTCTATGAATTTATTAAGAGCAATTAAGCTCATTCTATGTATCTAAATTATTCGTCATAGGGATAGGAAAATAGAAATGTACACTATGAGTCTTTCCATGACTTCGTTTGACCATATTGAACATGTATAACTAAGTTTGATATCCACCATGAATTCCTCAACAAATGTGCTTTAAACACACCCCCTCAACGAATCAAGAACCAACTTCTGACTTCAACCTTTGATAAGCAAACAGTTAGGTTCCTCTCTCATTTTGATAATAATTTAAGACACCCCACATTTCTAACATTATCATGATAGAAATAAATCTAAAATGTCTTGAACAATGTGTAAGCAAATTCTCGTACACATATAAATAATCATACTATAGTAAAGTTTGATATTAGTTTTAACCATAAAACTATACTTCAACAAACTCAAATTTTGTTTAAACATGATTTTATTCTCAAAACTTTTGAGAAGTTACTAATCATTAAGATTAGTATGCATAATCTCAAACGATTATGAAATTCCTTATATCTCATCAGTAGTCATTCGTGACTCTTTCTCATTCAAAATGAATTTCATTTTTCCTATTTTTTCATAAGAAATGTTTAGGAAATTATGAGTATTATTAAAAAGTTTATTAATTTTTTTTCAATTTTTCTTAACAACAGAAAAATTATCTCAAGTTTAGAGTAAGAGATTTAAGCATAAATCCTGAGATGGACCATCTCTTTTCTTTCCTCTACCTGGGATAATTATTCAATGAGATTTAATAGCTACAACCAACTTTTAGTAGCACTAGTTACGCTTAAAAACTAGGTCTTCATAGAACCAATCCTAGACATGCACTTCATACTATCACACTACTTTTCAATAAATCATTTATGAATTTTTCTCTTTCTTAAGGCTTCTTAAAGAATTATGCTTTATACTTTTACTCACAATAGTATCTAATTAAGCATACACATTTTAATCCCACTTATTGCTTTATCTTAGGCTTAGGTGGTGTTTGTTTTTGCAGAGGTAAAAGGTCTACAGTCTGCGGACCACATCTGCAGCAGAAGAAGTGGACCAAAAGTCTGCAGTCTTCAAGAAGAAGACTGTTTGTTTTTTAACGTCTGCAGACTGCTAAAATGAACTGAAATATAAATAAACTGATTTTTAAACTTAAAAGAGTTTTGCAATACTTAGATTTAAATAATTTTATTTTTACAATACTGAAATTTAAATAA